AGTTAATAAAAACAGAAATTAATATTTTAAAAATATTTGATTGTTGCCTATAAAAAACAAATTTAAATTTTACTGTACTGCCCTTCTAAAAATTGTAATATTACATAATTTAATCAGTACTCTAATCATATAAATACGCAAATACAACTTAGCGCACTTACATGTTTTCCAAAGCAATACTGAAATATCTTACTTCATTTTAATAGAAGTCAATTTTTCTTCTGTCTCAGAACATGACAATTGTATTTTCTCTTTATATATATAGGTTAGTAACGATATTTTATACCAAGGATCCATAATCGACGCAATACAATGCATATTTTCTACTTCTTCCCAGTATTTTTCAAATTTAGATTGCATTGGTACAACCATTTGACTGATAAAAGAATTAACATTAGTAATATTTTGTTCAAGGTGTATCTTAATTTTGATCAAATAAGGGAGAAAAAGATTTAAGGTTGAGTATGTTGTTTCTGATATAATATTCGTGACTATATTAGATTAAATAACTAATTAGTGTAAGTCTTTAGTAAAAAATCTTAAAGTCTAATGCTCTACGGCATTTCCCAAGTACAACTGGTGAGTGAAAAAAAGAGAGAGAGAAAAAAAAGAAAAAAAAAAGAAAATTAAAAGTTTACTATTACCTTCATAGAATGGTTTTAAAAAACTACAAATAACTTTAGCATTTCTCCAATCTTCATCAGAGGGCATAATTTGTTCAAAATTAGTGTCCCATAATGCGAGACGTCCAAATACATTTTTATACAAAATAGTTGATACAAGCATCAAATACACTGAGTTCCAGCGAGTCAGTACATCAAGGGTTGGACGTTGACTTGATACAAGTTCAACACAAGACCCCACTACAGCATCTTCAAAGGTTTGTTGGTGAGCTTGTGAACTGTAAATCCATTTTGCGCATTCTCGGATTTTACTTACAATATTCTTAACCATTTTTAGACCAACACTAACTATAAGATTCAGTATGTAGGCACAGCAGCATTGATGTAACAAACTTCCATTAGCAACAAGCATGTTTTGTTCATTAAGCATGTATTTTAAATTTTTTATTGCAGCATCATTGTTGGTTGCATTATTTACAGTGATTGCTAATATTTTTGACGCAACATTCCAATTATTAAAACATGTAAAAAGCATTTCACTAATGACAATTCCTGTATGAGGTGAGAGAATTACTCTAAACGCTAAAACTAGTTTTTGAAGTTTCCAATCCTTATCAATAAAGTGACACATAATGACCATATATCCAAGGTTTTGATTAGACGTCCATATATCACTCATAAAACTTAGATTACCAGGTGCCTCTTGAATTAATATACATGCTTTTATTTTAAGTTCTTCAACAATATCATCACAGTCTCTACGCACAGTTTTTCTATCCACCAACTTAAATTTGGGCCACAAATTATTAACAAACTTCACAAACCCTTTATCATCTACTATGCTAAATGGATATAAATGTCTAATAACCATTTTTGCCAAGTCTTAATGACTTTTTTCCTGAGAGAATTTATATGTAGAAATGCCTGATGTGGATACTTGCAAAAGTTGTTGTGATCTATTAGGGTCCAAATATTTTTTACATTTCGTGTTTTTCATATAACGAATTAAGGAACTTGTTTCCGTATCATTATCGTGTTTTAAATCACCTTTACAATGTGTACACAAAACATAGTTTGCTAACAAATTACATAATATAGTATAAGTATAGCTAGTTTATATAATTAATAATTAACATAGAGTAGAGATTTTTATGTTTATTAGGGTGTCAAGTAAAATGGCCTTCTTTAAAGACCCACAACTCTGGTTTGCTTCGCTTATGCTTGTTATTAATGATAGTTACTTCAGAATCTTCATTAACAACAGATATTTCAGCACTTTCATTAGTTGTAGTGATTTCAACATTTTCATTAATAGTAGTTATTTCAGGATTTTCGTCTTCATCATAACTAATATATGAGCAGATACTTCGCGCTTCTACTTAAACAAATTGTATTTTCTAGTAAGTATGATTAAGAAAATATATGTGACTGTAATTTTTAATTTTTTTATACCAGAATCCATCATATTATAATGGTTAATACATATTCAAATGACAACCTAAAATAAAAACCCGGTTTTAAGTTATTTTCTAAAGATATGTATATTCTATATTTGTTCTTTTTAGCTCACCTTATTTTATATTATTTTATTTTTTTTTCGTGTACGTATGTACATACGTTCCCTTCAAACTACACTTTGCACCAAACAATTTTCTGTCTTCTGTAAGTTTTTAATGATGAATATCAATTTTTGGATTTCTGTTACTTATATATTACTTTGTATTATGCGTGTTACATATCGATAAGCTTTATGTGAATAAGTGCATATACATACATAATCAATCTGATGATTTCGCTAGTTGTAAAACAAGCAGCGCCAAACCTGCAAGTATATAATGATGTACTATAATCAGTAATATAATAACCGGATATAGTGATTTGAATCAAAAATCTTAAAATGACAACTAATCGATTAAAGCAACTAATCATTAAATGATTATCTACACAAATTAAATTAATAATGTCAGATATATAGTTGGTATATATATAGTTTACCCACAAAAAATTTTACCCCCGTGGTTTTTATCCAATTAGACTGTTAGGGTTAGGGGTTAGTGTTAGTGTTAGACTAGTGTTAGATCACATTAGAGGGTAAACTTATTAATGTGATTTACAGGCGTTAATACAATAAATCACATGGCTATAATAGTTAACCAATAAAATAAACTAAAGCATGTGATAATTAAAAATTTTTTGTCAAGTCAAAATCACTAACCAGGTGTTATTAGGCTGTTTGGGCTTTTTTACAAGGCCCAAACCCGGTCCAATATTTTAATGGGCCCGGCCCAAGCCCGGCCCAAACAATATTGGGCTTAAAAATATGAGCCTATACTTGGCCAAAGCCTGGCTCGGCCCATATATTGCTGGGTTTAGCCCAGCCCATTTCCATCCTTAAGCATGCTGTGATAAAATTTTTTCAAGAGGCTGGAGATTGTAATGAATAGTATTAGGCCAAGCTATATTAGAGTTAGTTGTTATAGACATATTTAGATAAGTTAGGAGCTGAATGATTTTAAAGTTTAATGTGTATTTGTTGGATCCATCAATAATTAGTCGTGGGTGCTGAAGTATATTGATCACTGACCAAAGGTTGTTTTGGAGTTGTTGTAATCTTATTCGAGTAGAGATTTCAAGTAGATTAGAATTGTTAATTCATAATAAAAAATTGGTAATATGATGTTGCAGTTGGATGTCTCAGATGTTATAAACATTATATAAGAATGGATTAAGCATAGTACTATTAGAAATGGAGCGAGCTAAATGAGATTTGTGTTTGATTACTATTAGGCATTTGGCTAATATGTTGTTGCATGTAGATTGAGGCAGGATTATATTGTGTAGTCTATATTTGAGTGTAGGTATAATGATAGTATTAATCACATAAATAATTTGTTTGTCAGTAATTTTCTTAGTGTTGGCAATGTTAGTGAGTTGGAGTGTTTCTTCTTGAATAATTTTAATT